CCGATTCATCACTTAAGCTAAATAAATAACATACAAACAAAACATAAAGGAACTAACAAATAATTTATGAGCAGGGGATTTCTCTTACTTGCCACCTCCATGGATTGAATTGATATGGGCATTCATAGTTTTTGTCATCTAGATGAACTGATCTAAAATTTGCAAACACACACCACCCTTGTGGTATCAGGTGCCCTTTTATCTCAACATCTTTTAAGGCCTTTCTCATTACTCCAATTATAATATTTCCCATTCTTAGAGTTTCAGTGATGACCTGCACAAGTAGATTTTCACACGATAAGTTAAGTATGGACTATTTTTACTTGTCTTTGATGAGGATCCACGGTTGTCTTACTGTTTGAGTAAATGGCAATGATAAGTAATCGCTCCAACACAAGGACTCTCCAACCTGATCTTGAAGTTTCTTAAGCTTCATATTTTCCTCCTGAGAGCATCAAAAGTAGTTAGCCAAAAGATAATGAGGAAATTAGTTCAGAGACTTTCTTAAGGGCACACGTCGCAATCTCATATGATGGTAAATGAGAGGACAAAATGCATACGTATCTACCGCGAGTGTGATGTTGGCCACTCTTATGAGTAGTCATATAAAGCTAGTGGAGAAAGGACTTCACCCTATCATTACTAGCCAATTGTCCCTAAGAAAAATTCAAAATCTTTGGTAACATAGTGAAAGAAGCATAATAGCAACAACAAAATGATTTTCTACTTTTAGACTAGCCCACTAAGAGTAGGAGTCCTCAACTAAATACTAATCGACCAAAACAAAATGAGATTACTGTTGATTCAGAAATGCTTTTGATTCGTGGTAGGTGAATTTTATTATAACTGGTGAAGAGGAGATTTAGCAATTAGCATACCGTCAATTGCTGCAAAGCAGCAGGACATTCTGATAGATATTTTGTAGCTAGAGTCATAAGAACTGGCACTGAGTCTTCCCCTGGAATCATCATATCAATAATATTATCTGCTATTAAATCATCAGTCAATTTTTCACTTGCATCATTAAGAAGCACATCCACCACATCTTTTGGAACTCTGCAGATGCCACTATTTCTTTTAGCTTGGATAATTCTCCGCACTAATTTCACCATTTTCTTTTTTGACTAAAACCAAAAAAGTGAAGTGAGTATTGCTAGGCCGATGATCGTGACATGACATGTACGGTAAAAAAATAAATCAATATCTATGGATTTACCTGCAAAGATTGATAAAGTTTTGTTCCTGGTAGATTTATTGGTAGAGACATGAGGCCAGAGATAAATTCCTGAAAATGTACCTTCAGAAGATCCATTTCTTCTCCTGGATCCAAACTAATCAATGCCTTGACTAGTACATGAAAAGCAATCTGAGGACAAAGAATAAGTAATTGTTACGTGTTGGTATCTTTGAAAAGATAAATTATAATTGATAATCTCAATTTCAATGTAGCATGATTACTACAAAATGATTATGAACCCCATAAAGATAACTAAGATTTTCACTTTATAATTATATGATCTTGAAACATACGTAGCTCGATCACTAATTATTACTTAAATAACTCATACATAAACGTAAGGAGATAGTGTGGTCACTTTGTCATACAACTTTGGAGAGTGGATGCTTTGATATAAACAACTTAACATGTCAAGATGCCTAGTATATAGATTTAAGAGAAGCAGCATCTTTTGTTTTATCTTCTGTCTGATGGAACTATTCTCAAGAAGTCACCGTGAGCAAACTTTGAAGCTAGATTCTGACCTCTACACCACGTGGGAGAGAGAGAGCAGACAAGGGTTGGCATAAACACACATGTACAAACACTCACACACCCCTTCAGTCAGAGAGAAGAGAAGGAAACTACAGAGCTAACCTTTTTTGTTTCGTCTTGTATGTATATGGGGCAGTCCTCTTTCCAACTAGCCATTGATTCTTGGACATACTTTTGCATATCTCTGGTGATCTGAGCCTTCAGCTGTTGAGACTTGAAGAAAGCTCCAATGAGTCCATGTATTCTCCTCTGAAGGCTTCCATTGATGAGCAAAATAGAAGACTCCCCCATCAACTCAGTAAGAGACTTGGGATAAGAAGGAACAAAAACTTTTGCATCACTTTGCAGTATAAACTTATTCACATCAGCATCCGTGGAAACAATTGTGGGGCTTCCAAATATGTGTGACTTAAACACCTTGCCATACCTACAAGTTGCAACACGCCAAATCTTATTGAAAACAACATAGAATTTATAGAGTCAACTTAGTATACAAAACCAAGGCATGATGAGACTTTTACAACCCAGATGGCTTTTCTTTAGCAGTCCAACTTTGATATGTGATGCCATGGAAGAACCTAAGCTAACTTGTATGAAGCTGAATTAAAGTGAAGTGAAGTGAAGTGCATGGTTAAATAAGTAATGCATGAAAAATGATTGTTTATATGAACTTACATGCGGCGTCGCTTGTCCATGAAGCTCTCAGGGCGATCAGAGTAAGCACAAGAAACAAACTCAATGGTTTCACCGATAAAAGGCCATCCAAGAGTCCCTAATGGAAGTTTATTTCTATGTTTTGATTTGAGCATGAGACTAAGCCTGTTCCTGTAGAGGAGGATCACAGTGCATAAGAGAAACACAGTCACAAACACAATCCAAATATCGTCCATTATTTTCTCACACACTCTATGATACTTCTAGCTTTGGCTTAAATATGCATAATCATATGGTGGCCACGGCCATAACCACGTTTTTCTTTATGAAAGATTTCAGTGTGCATGTGTGTGTACGCGTGCAAGAAGAGGGAGAAGGAGAGAGGCTTTGTGAAGTCTTGGCTAACTTTTTGCGTAAGGGGGAATATAAATATCCATGTATACATTAACAAAAGCATAATATTGAATTATTAAATTCTCAAGGCACAGAGAATTTTAGTGCTATCTCTGTCCTTTGGACTCAACTGGGTCAACAGTTTTGCTATGAGTCTCTAGTATCGGGTTGGGAATGTCTCTCAGTCAGTAGCTTATTATCTGTCTCATATTCCAAGAAATACACACTATCTATGATGATATATATATCAAATTTAATCTCAAAAAGAATTGTCAAATACAGTAAAGTGGGAGAATATACAAGCCTTTTATTATATGTTGAGATGGTGAAATATTAACTGATAATGCATGTCTGGTTTTGCTTAGTTTATGATTTTGTTTCACATTATAGAATAAAAGAAGTCCCCACAGAAGGGCATGATTGTTCATGTAGCACATTGGATTATGGCGTCCCCCCTTCCTTTTCCTTTGGTAGTAGCAGTTGGATGGCCTCGTGCCTTCATGTGAAACTCAATAAGTCCAACCACATTCATCCATCATCACCCCGCCTCAAAACTACTCTCTCTCACTTCAACATTTTGTTCAATCCATGCTCTTCTCCAACCTCTCACGTTATCATCATTTCCATCCTTTCTCTTATTATATGCTAGAGGCCACATACCCTTTTCTTTCTCTTTACTATATAAAAATACTTATCCTATCCCCACATTTACATGACTTTTAAATGTATTGGCCAGTGATGGTACATTCCTTTAATGAACCAAGCAAGAATGAGAGTGACAAAATTGCATGAAAGATGGTATTTAAAGATAAAATCCCCTTCTCCAAGTTGATTATTTCATAAGCATGCCTACCCAACTTTGGTTAAGATTTTATAAGTCTCTCTTTGACTGTAGTCAACAATTACGCTTTTGATTTTTTATTTTTTGCTTTGATATTATTACTATTATCACAATGGCCTGGTTTTAATTCAATTCATTAGTTAGCTTTTGTCCTAATTTAAAGGGAAACATCCTATCAGATTCAGGCAACTAATTCAACGTTCAAACTTTAATATCATTTTGGCATCAGAGATTACTCGGCGCTGTTCTGAATTTTATTTATCTATACACAAAATCAGTGAGAATCCCAGAAAGAAATTCATGTATATTTTCTCTTGGAGTTTGAGGAGCTTGGACCGTCAACTAAAAGAAAAAGCAATTTTTCTCAGAAGAAGAAAAAGAAAAGAAAAATCAGTAGTTGAAAAAATAAGTTATAGTATTTTAGTAGTTGGCTTCGTGATGGAGGCTCGCTTGCATGCATGTTGTGGGAACCCTGCCAGTGTGCACAGTGCCATCCGTGTCCACATCCTTTTGGGGAATTGTGCATGTTTACATTAGGCCCATGTGAAGCTCTAGTCACTATTCTCAAACCTCAACATGGTAAATATGCAATTCAGCACCCCCAGAAAAACATGGAGAATATGCATGCTTGGCTTGGAAATTGGAAAATGACCAATGATATATTAGAAGGAGATGATGAGTTGATGATAGAGAAAGATCCAACAGTTCAAAGTTTTACTCGTGAAATTATAGACTACCACAACCACAGATATTACTCGGAAAACTTCCCACACTTCTATTTATTTAGTGTAGATTTCAGATTCTAATAGAAATGGTGTCTTCCAACACAAATTTGTAATAATCTGATCAATGCTGCCTTATATGCCCAGATTTAAATAGACGAGTTCAAATTCAATAATAAAAAAAAAAATCATTGTTTTTGCAAAATTTAATTAGTATCCTCATTTAAATGCTTTAAATTACCTGAGCAAAACTGCTCTCTGGCCTCTGCACTAGCCATGTGCTAAGACTCTAACTCAAAGCTGGCTTTATTCACACAAAAAACAAATACATATATTGAAAATCCAATATGATAGGTAAAAAGAACATGACCATTGTACATCAAGTGCCATCAACTTGTACTATTGTCGAAACAAAAGGAACCAGTGAGCCACATCCAAAATTTTGCAAACGACAATTTAGGATGCCAGGACCCGGATTTCTCAAGCCTCAACAAATGTATAATCTAAAATCCATCAACAAACTAAGTAAAAGAGAAAATAAAGGCATTGCATGAATGAATTCAAGTAGGCTCGATGCAAATAACTTTTTCCCCTGCTGATAAAGATAACAGGAAGGTAACTAGACACTTGGGATGGATTTTGACCGAATAAGCGTTTTAATCAGAGCTTTCTCATCATCAATCTTTTGTTTCTCCTCTGCATCTTTTGGCTTAACCTTCCTCTTCTCTTCCAATATCCATTTCAACAGTTCACGTTGTTGATTTTCAGGAATTGGTTCTTGTTTGATCACAGGATTTGCAATAGGTGGTGTGGACACAGACGTCTCAACAACATGAACAGCAGCATCTTTAGTTGAGACAGGACTTACATCTTGCTCCTCGTCACTAGTATCTTTCTTCTTCCACCCCATAAACAAGTAAGCTGCAGCGGGAACAAGATATGTTTTAAAAATAGAAATTCATTCAGGCATACTGATTTAGGATCCGAAAACAACACAAGCAAGATAAATAGACTGAAAAAATGAAATGGTGAATAATGTTAAATGTATTTGGCACGTGTGCCAATAAATTTTCAGTATATTTATGTGAATACTTAATTGAGACCAACTATTATCATTAAACTAGTCACAAGATTCATCGCCAACCTTTTCTACTTGAGTTGGTAAGGGAAATGTTGCAAAGTATGGTTTTGGTTTAAACATCTTAATGGTACCAGTAAGCTGCCAGAAAATGAAGTGTAGTACATTGGCTAGCTAGTATACAGTTAAAATAATAGCTGAACTGTTATTTTGGACGCCTTTGATTTATAAACCTCTTGTACTTATTAAAGTGCTTGCAAATCTAGTTTCTTACTGAGCATAGATTATAAACAGACGTCAATCCATCATATTCCATCAGTGAAGTTTAAACAAGCATAAAGATCTTGATATCTTTTTGCAAAACTGTATATAGGATGATGTACCCATAAATTATGAAATGAAGATTTTGACAGAATGCGTTATACAGTCTCAAAAATGATTAAGGTATCACCTTGATTATTTTTGTTTGTCAAACCTTGATTCAATGAATCAATATAAAGAAAATTGCAATAATTGTCAAAACCACAAAACCATCAGTTGCAAATGCAACCAAAAGTTACAATGATAGGAAACTAGCACACTAATCTTAGAAATAATGCTTCTAACAACCTCAACTATCATATATTAAGAATATAACAACCAAGCATGCATCGTAGCAATAAAGGTAAAGGTAGCCTCTTTTTTGGCCTTTCATAAAATAACCATTCTCAGACATAAAGTCAAAGCTTTTTCATTCTAATCATGTGATTTCTTGATTTTTATTCATTTTGTTAGTCATGATCAGATCCAATGCTTTTTAATTTATGATCTCACTGGCTCCCAACTCATCCTCAGAAACAGATATTGTACTGCAGAAAACGAAGATCATTAAACCCACCTTCCCTAAGAAATCAACACCTCTATGAAGTTATGATCTTCTCACTCACCATACTCGTGAACAAACATGTCAAAGTGAAATACAGCTTAATGTAGTATCATTCTCTCCACCCCATCCGATATCAGCAAATTTATTTTGAGGGAGTATTCATATGCAAGAGGAGCAAAATAAACACTGGTAGGCAAAATCAAATAATACCTAACTCAAGGTGTGAATTTAGCCTCCCTCATTTGTCCACAAATGAAAACAAATATTCCAACCCATGAATTTTCAACCCCCAAAGTAAACTTATGTATTCCTCCCACCCCAAAGTGACAATCAACGATTAAAACAGGAAAAGAAAAATGAAGCTTTCATTATTCATTCAGGGTAAAAGCCATAACCAATCAGAAGAAAGAAACCCCATCTCATAAATTACCACATGATCAACAAGGGTCAAAACATTCAAACAAAAAAAAAATATTTTTTTGCTATTGGGGTCAAGAAAAAGTCACCTCCGACACCGAGATTCACAGCCAAAAGTATAGGCCAAACAAATTTGTAGCGCCGAACAAACGGTTCTTTTGGCGGCGGCGGGGGTGGCACAGCGGCGTGGCCGTGGGTCCCCATCGCCGCCGGCGAGGAGAACTCCTGCGATTTATGTTGCCCTCGAAGCTGCTTCAGCTGCGCTGTTACCGAAGACAAAAACTTTGAATCAAAATTAGATATTTGATTTGATTTTGCACAATTTTTCCTTAGACAAAAAATAAAATAAAAGACAAACAAAACAACCTTTTCGAGGCTTGTTGTTGTATAACTTTGGAGGACCTTCTTCACTCATTCTTTTCTTCCCTTTTCACTCTTCACCTCATTCCACCATTCATTCACTCTTTTAACTCTTAACTCTTCTCCACTGTAATGTCACACTGTTTCTCATGCATATATACAACGCAACCAATCTTCTTTTTTTCTTCAATTTTTTTTTTTTTATCATTTTAACACTATATATAATGGAACTTATTGTTTTTATAACCCAACTTCCTCTTAAAAAAAAAAAAATTAGAACGAAAATAATGTTTAAAATACGAATTTCTTATTTTAAATTAAAAAAATTATTAAGTTTTATTTCAAAATTCAAAGTTGTGAAACAAAACTTAACTAATTTTTATTTTTTTTAAAAGTTATCTACTTTGATAAGAAAAATTAAAAATTACCCTAAAAACCTATTATCTATTGACAACATGTTTTTTATTTAGATTAATGTGAGAAATACAAACTTTAATCGTAATGAAAATAAATATGCATATTTTGCGATAGTACTTCCTTTACATATGTTTGGTGGTCTAAGTAAATACACATAAAATAAGATTTATTATATTTAAACTAAAATATTTTCATTTAATATCGACACTAATAATAGTGAGTCCCATATTTTATCATACTAAGATTAAACTTAAAAAAAATGATATAAAACAATTATTAGCTAACAAAATGGTCCTATATTATTAGAAAGATTATACCATCTCTCTCTCTCTCTATCTATCTATCTATATATATATATATATATATATATATATATATATATATATATATATATATATATATATATATATATATATCAAAAACAAAAAGCTTGATGTAATATTAAATAAGATTGGAGAAAAAAAATCAGACTTTACTTCTAAAACAATGATTATTTTGAAAAAAAAAAAAACTAAAACAATTAAAGATAAGAAGGAAATATCTTCATTTCAACGATGGAGAGTTTTGAAGGTTTTATTTTTTCCATGATGAAGTCATTTTATTCTTGCAACAAAATTTCAATATCTTCCACAGACACATTATGATTGATTGATCGATTCTATTACCTACAACCTCAAGTAGTAATGGAAACAGGATATTTGAAAGTGGATTATTATTACTCTAAGTTAGGTCAGAATTTTTGTTCCCAGACAAATTAAAGACTATTTCTTTATAGAACAAATTTTGATATTTTATCAGCAGTTTAAAACTTATTTGGTTCGAAAAAGTTTGACTTTATGTTATTTAAAACATATTAGAGTTAATGTGTCAATCTATTTAAGCAAATATTAATAATATTTTTTATTATAATATTATTTTTTATAATATGCTAAAAAATCACTTATTTATTTATCACATGGAATAATAAATGTATACATGATAAATGTATTGTTCATATAAGTTTTATAGAACTACATGATAATTGCATATAACTTAATGAAAAATGACTTAGTAATAAAACCATCCTTGTGATTACTACCCAATCTTCTAAACCTAGGAAACAAAAATCCCGCTAAACTAAATCTTATCTTGATTTTCTAACTTTCGTCATTTCTAAAATTCATCCAAAGTTAATTATATAATTGATATGAACATGATTTATGATAAAGGCTAAAGAAAAGAAAGCAAATGAAGTTCTTCAACATGTATTGTTGATTTATCAAATTTTATTTTGGATTAATCAATTAATGAGCTTTAGTTTGGTTTTACTCGCAAGTTATAGTAAGAGTTCAATTAGAAATTTAGTTATCAGTCTTTTGAAGACAAAATGATGTATAGTTGATTAACTTTTGAATGTCACAATTTCGATTACAATAAATCATTAAGTAGTTTTCAATTTTTAGGTTAATGGATCATTATTAGCCTTTATTTGTCTCCATTAAGTAGTTTTCAGGTTAATGAATCATTATTAGCATTTATTTTTCTTTATTAAATCTTTATAATTCTTATGGCAAAACTTCTATATAGGCTGAACCATTTTTATCAAAAATAACAAGTGGAATTTTATTCAAAACTATTAGAGTTTATCTCATTTATCTTAGTGAAAGTGATTCTCCTAAATTCTTGAGTGATTCAAGAACTCTTGGTTGTATCAAAGGACTTTCACATCCTTTGTGAGTTGTCTTCCTTGAAAAGAGTGATTATTTCCTTCCACCTTATCACTAAATTTCTTACAAGATTCTAACCCTAAAGATCCTAAATCACCTCTTGTGATTCATATCAGTTGGTAGTCAGAGCCCCGGTTTAAAGGTTTGAACATCAAATTGATTGCAGAGGAGGATAAAAAGAAAATGAGAGAAAAATTTCTTCAAAAAAAGAGAGAAAAAAGAAGAAGAGTGAAACACTTGAAGTAAGAGAGAGTTATTTAGCCATGAAAAGTGAGTATAATATTAGTTCTACATTCAATTTGTCAGGTTTGTCTCTTTTTTATGTAGATTACAAATTCGATTTGATGACAAATCCTTTTGAGGAGGGAGAGAATGATGTGAACATGAACTATGATAAAGGCTAGAGAAATGGAAGCAAATGAAGTTCTTCAACAATGTTGGTTGACCAAATTGTGTTTTAGATTAATCAATTAATGAGCTTTAATTTGGTTTTATTGCAAGTTGTAATAAGGGTCCATTAGAAATTTAGTTATCAGTCTGTGGGAGACCAAGAGGGTGTATAGCTGATTGACTTTTGAATGCCACAATTTCAGTTACAATAAATCATTAAGTAGTTTTCAATTCCTAGATTAATGGATCATTATTAGCTTTTATTTGTCTCCATTAAGAAATTTTCATGTTAATGAATCATTATTAACATTTATTTTTCTTTATTAAATCTTTGTAATTCTGATGGTAAAGCTTCTATATAGGCAAACCATTTTTATGAAAAATAACAAATAGAATTTTATTCAGAACGAGTTTATCTCTTTTATCTTAGTGAGAGTGATTTTCCTAAATTGTTGAGTGATTCAATAACTCTTGACTATATCAAAAGACTTTCACATCCTTTGTGAATTACTTTCCTTGAAAAAATTAATTATTTTCTTCTACCTTATCACTAAATTCCTAAATTTCTTATAAGGTTCTAACCCTAAAAATCTTAAATCACCCATTGTTATTCATATCAGTAAAAAACAAAAAACAAAAAAAAACAGTCCATGTACTACAAATTTTATAAAAAATTATAGTCATTTACATAGTCACATTTAATTTACAATAATTGATATAGTACTAACAATTTATTCACTCTTCCACCCCAATAAATAATATTTAGAGTAAGACTCTTCTTGGAGAAGTCCTTTCTTGTATTTCAAATCTAACGTCGATATTTTCATTTAAAATTAAAACCCACAAAAATCCAGAGGTGCAAATCAAATCGTAAGTAAATAAAGACATTAAAAGGAGAGGGAAAATAAGTACTATCTACATTCCCTAACATGAAAGCCCGTGTGTTAAATTTTTTAAAATTGAATATATTTGGAGTTCTAATAAACTACTCAACGCAGCGCAGAAAAGATGATACTTAAATCTTGGAATCTTCCTACCAAATTGGGTTACAGAACGAAATTCCTGCGCATCAAATTGAAGTACAAACCTAGCGAGTCATTAAATAAATATTTGATCAAATGAAAATCGTTATCAACATCGTGTTTGAAAGAGATTGAAGGTTAGGATTCTCACCTTGAATACAATAAACTACAATGAGATACTTAAGCTTCGATATTCTCCCACCCAAAAAACTAGTCTTTTGAATTAGGTTTTTGTCGTGTTTGTCATACCATATATTTTCAATTACTGCAAAATGAACCATTGAGGTATGAACTATGATTTATGAACAATTATCTGATGGTACATGTTCTATGGACATTTTAACAAAATAAATTATAGAACTTGAATTCGAATTCCTATTACTACCCTTACAAGTTTACACTAATTATCAAGGCAATAAAACGTGAGTAGCAACACAAATGGCAGGATTCATCAATCAAGTAGCTTTGTCTGCACTTTCATCAATCAGCTCCAAGGACGAGAACTGCCATAGCCCCTCCCACGGTCTTGGAAACCTCGGGGACCTGATTCATTGATAGTTGAACGAGAACACAATAAATTCCCTTTGGATAAAAATGACAAGATAAACATTGACCATAGTTTACATGAAGGTTAATAAATATTTAGTAAGGATGAAGCCTTTTTTATAAATAGAATTCATTTTTAGAGAGATATAAACGTAGAGGATAAGAAATCCAAATGGGAAAAAAATAAAGATATCAAAATAAAGACTACCTGAAAAAATCAAAAAATAAAGATCAAGAACCATGCAACAGAGTATGCCAATATCTCTGAAAATTTATCAAGACCCTCCCTTTAAAAGTGCGTTAGCAGAACAACACAAAAATGCTAAAAAACAAAAAAACAAAATGAGCTCAAAAGAAGACTTTCATCCAGGGGAATCAAATACACCAAAACAGTAACAAAGTAAAGTCCACCCAGGACTATTCAACATAAAGATATGTGAATGTCATTATTTACTTTTAGGTATAAGAATCATATGCATAAAGTCGCACACCAAACAAGCATACCCTTCACAGTTACAAACTACAATTACAATCATGAGAAGAGGACCAACAAATTATGTCCAAACTGTAAGCCAAGTTATTCTTGGGTCAGGTTAACTGACCTGAAGGCAGAGGTGGTGCGCCACGCCCCATTGCTGCTAATTCAGGACTCACTTTCTGTCCAGCTTCCTCAAGTATGGCTATGAGTTCCTTTGCAAATCTAGCATTAGCAGCTGTGAAGAATGTGTATGCAGTTCCTTTTGCACCAGCTCTCCCAGTCCGCCCAATGCGATGAACATAGTCCTCAAGTGACCCCGGGAAGTCATAATTTATTACATATTTCACATCCTTCACATCTGATGACAATAATGGAATAGTAGAAGCATTAAGATACACATCAGTAAAGCTATTTTCTATTTGTAAATCACAAGCAGCTTTTTTCTATTTGTCACAACAAAATACCAAGACGAACTAATCATGACATTGACCTCCTGTAGGCAGATGGGTAATTCTAACTTAAAAAGGCATACAATTCATGCATAATCCATCAAGTAATCAAAGACTGGAAAAAGGTAGCCCAAAAAACATAAGTAGAAAAGTATTTAATATACAACATTATATGAAGCTAGGATAACAGGAATGTAATATTAATATTTCCAAAATAAATAAGTACTGATATTTCCATAACTATAAGAATGTCTGCCAAGTAATTACGTAAAGCAGAAGTTTTTGTACCTAAACCACGGGCTGCAACATCTGTTGCTGTCATAATAGGACTTTTTCCCGACTTAAATTCTGAGAGCACCCAATCTCTTTCTGCTTGACTTTTGTCTCCATGAATTGAAAGTGCAGGCCAGCCATCCATGCGGAGTTGCCTAGTGATTTGATCACATCCTTTTTTGGTATCCATGAATATCAGTATTCGGCTGCCATCCATGATGTCCTCTAGCAACTTCACCAATCTGACAAATAGGCAGACTCCATTAGGTGGCCCTATGTGATAAGGTCTTGAATGGAATGAGAAGGAAATAAGGATAAGACATCCTACTTATCATATTTCTGCTTTTCGGAAACAATGTCAACATACTGCCGTATTGCATGGTTAGCTTTTAAATCTTCAGAGCCTATAATTACCTGCACAATGATTGCAGAAGTTGTAATTTAAATATATATACACATGCACACACATACATACACAGTCTCACAAAATATAATACATTATCTTAAAACAATTCATTTCAGACCAAAAATCATTTCAACTTATAGGAATGAAATTTAAGAGAAAAAGCAATTACATATCCCAGCTTGAAAATATCTTACTTTGTATGGGTTATAAAGGAACTTCCGTGCCAATTGTTCAACCTCCTTAGGCCAGGTAGCACTCCAATACAATGTTTGACGGTCTGGCCGAATCTAAGTAAAACAAAAACCAGTGATTACATGACCAGAGAAATAAAGCAACTTTTCTAATCTGCAGCTTCAGTAATCTGCTTTTCTAAATCAAGTTGGATTCATCGGTAGGTGCAGCTTACAGTTGGGGGGGGGTTGATGAAAATATCATGGTTTGTGGGCCAAATTAGATTTTTTTAGTTTATAAATAAACTAAAATTAAAAACCAAATTTAAGAAAATGAGCCCAAATCCATGTTTGCCAATACACTACCAACCAGCATACTTAGAATCGCATGTATCGAGTGGTACAATGTGATTCCATGGTCCAGCCCAAATTCCTCTTTGCCAATGCACTACCTACTAGGTCTGAATAGCAGAGCAAATTGCCAGGATCACAGTTACTAGACACATCGATTTCTGGTGCAAGAAAGATCACACCCAAACTGGAGGTTGGGTCGTACGTGACCCAGTTTAGAAACCATAACAGAAAGGGAGGGAAGAGCCGACATTGTTCCACCACATTTACCCAGCTGTCCCCACTCTGAGAAGCACCTTCTCTTGTCTCCTTCAGTTTTTTTCTCCTTTCTGTTCTTGTCTGTTCACGCAAAAAGAGAATGACCTATCTTTTTTTTTTAATATGTTAACTGGTGTAGGAAGATGAATATGACTGATCTTGATCTTGGGGATGATGAATGATGTTGGATAAGAGTTTTTTTTTAGGCTCTACTGAATCTATGCAGCAGTAGCAACCACTGTTTCCTGATTTCATGCAGTAACATCACTAGTTTTTTTTTTGGGAGACTATATTGCTGAATTTGTGGAGTAACAAGTAGTCACTGCTATATGAATTTATTGAGCTGTTAGTATATGTTGCTGAATTGTGCAGTAGCAAACAACTATTGGCTGAATTTATGTAGCAAGCAGTCACTTATTCTCGCCTCACGGTTGTTATTATGCAGTAACAGTGTTATTTTGGAGTTTATATGACACTTTCTTACGTTAAAATTATCCTAGATTTATCTTTTAAAGTTATTGATCATGAAGTTGTGCTTTTACATGTCTTAGACACACAACCTATTCTTATTATTAATCATTAATTTGTGAAACTCTCAATTTTAAACAACTCATGTTTATAGGACCCACATTAAAAGAATGTTTTTTTTGATAAACAACTCTATTAAAAATTCTCTAAAGATCATGGTATGAGTCAAGATTCAGAAAATAAACTTTCCAACTACCATGCTGGCAACATAGTTACTAGCTAGAACATACTTGTAATGCATGAATGACGCATCAACTTGACTATGACAAACAATACTCATAATACAATATTAAGCTATTTCTTGAAATTTTACTATTTCTAAATATAAATCAAATCATAAAATAAAGAAACCTGAGAGACAATCTTCCGCAGTTGAGGATCAAACCCCATGTCCAACATCCTATCAGCTTCATCCAATACAAGATATGTGACCCTCTGCAAGTTGGTATGATTTGATTCAAGCATATCAATCAACCTTCCCGGAGTGGCAATTACAATTTCAACACCTAATCACAAAAATTAACAAAAGCAAAAATTAATATTCATGATTGTGAAAGGAGAAAACCAAAACTGTACAAAGGGGCAACAAACAGTCAGTAAGTTAATTAACAAAAGTCATGGCCTTGAATAATTCAACACATACCTTTCTGGAGATCACGCACCTGAGGTCCCTTCGGAACCCCACCATATATGCATGTACTCTTAATCCTCGATGATGCACCAAATTTAGTAGCCTCTTGCTGTATTTGGACAGCCAGTTCACGAGTTGGAGCCAATACTAACACAATTGGTCCATCTCCAGGATCTGAAAAATATTGTCAACAAATGGACAGTGAAAAAAAGGGGGAGCAAAGTCAAAAACGGCACACTTAAATTCAATAAGAAATCTGATCGTCTCAGTTTTTTCCTTATTTACTTACCTAAAATTGGCTGAGCATTAACATGCACAATGGCAGGTAACAAGTAAGCAAGTGTCTTCCCTGATCCTGTTTCTGCTATTCCTATCAGATCACGTCCCTTCAAAGCCATGGGCCAACCTTGAGATTGAATAGGTGTAGGCTCAGTAAAGCCAGCTTTTGTAATTTCTTGCATCACATATTCTGGATGAAATCAAGATCATAAAAATAGTATGCTATTAAAACCTTGTCATCCCATAATCTGATAATAAATTTTGCAAGATAATCATGATACGATCAATTATAAACAAAATGTTCTACTCCCTTCTTTTGCCTTACATTCTGCAAAGAAGAAGTATTGACCTTTTCAATCTAGTGAATTCAGATGCTGTCTTTGGCATAAAATAAACCAACCAATTCCTCAACCATTAGGAAAATATTTTTAGCATACTATTTTGCTTGACAATCTTTCCCATAAAACTAATAACCCCGCCAAACTACCGGGTCTTCAAGCTAAATAAAGCAATAATGAGAAGGTGAGTCATGTACTTCAAGCTAAAGAAGGTGAAAAGCGAAATTGATGAAACAGAACCAAAAATACCAGGAAAACCAGCATCTTGAAAGGTCTTGACAGGCTTGGGGATATCTCGACCTTCAACAGTTATTTCCCTCTGCTGTCTGTACTCATTAACCTCAGCATCAGTCATTGCCCTTACCGCAGGTGACTCAATGTAGAAGTTTTTCTCAAAATGAGGTAAACCATCCAGACTGACGTTCCTCTTTGGTGACCCACCATCATCATGATCCCTCTTGTTTGATGAAGAGTGCTGTACAGAACCACCAAACCCTGTAGGAGCACCTAGCCCAGAATCACTGACAAAACAAACACACCCATTCAGCAAAACATTTAAATCAAATATAGATAAGATTACCACTGTTGAAACTATATACATCTGGGTAAAGAAGAAGGAAAAGAGAGGATAAAATCATAATTAAAAAATACAATATTAATATGCAGTTGAACAAATGTCATATTAACATATGGTATGTAATAATGCTTATTGAAAATGCATTGCTCTAACCCTAAATTATACTAATAATTGATAGTCTACTAGACTTCTAATCATAATTAAATAAGTGAGAATTAAGAATTTATCAAATCTAAGATAGTGGTACATAGCAGCATGCTTTGAATACTATATATCAAGAAAGAAGCTATGAAGCCCAGACACTTAAAAGAAATGGAAAATATCCATGTTGGATTAATACAGAAACAAATTTCAAGAGTAAAATACGCGCAAGCAAATGATAAAAAAACAGGGTAACTTTGTATTTATTATAAAAAGGAAAACTACTTTTAGAGAAAAAAAAATCCTCTAAAGTCCCAGAGTCAAACTCCGAATAGAGAAACGCTCTTCCTCTACCTTAGACATAGCCAAAATATTCTCCCCCCTCTCCCCCACTGATTCATGATGATATAACAAAAAGGTAATAATAGAAAGAAACATTCATTCTCTCTCCTCCAACAAACTCTCAATACCCATTCTTCCTAATTTGCCCTCTTCTTCCTTCGAGTGTAGACAATCAATTTCTTTGGGCCTTTTGCTGATATATCCGCTAAAATTTCTTGCGGCCCAATGTTATCCTGCACCTTATCAATGCCATCCCCTATAAGAAATTGCTTGTCCTCAAGCTTCAGTTCTGGGAATTGGCTTCTCAGAATCAACTCATCCTCCCAGGTAACTTCTTCACTTGATTTTCCCTTCCAACTCACCAACCATTGCGTCACCCTCCTTCCTCCCTTAGAGGTCTTCCTCACAGCTAGCACAGTTTCTGGTTCAGTTATCTCCCCATCTCCTACCTCCAAATTGAGAGGTAATTCAGCTTCTACTGAGTGAGTTCCATGTGCCTTCTTCAATAGTGATACATGAAAAACTGGGTGAATCCTTGATGATGATGGCAACTTCAAACGATATGCAACCTCCCCAATCTTTTCTAAGATCTCAAATGGACCATAATAACGGGCACAAAGCTTAGGGTTGATTCTAGCAACTACTGATGACTGCCTGTGAGGTCTTAGTTTGAGAAAGACCATATCTCCTACTTCAAAACTCCTTTCTTTCCTGTGCTTATTAGCTTGGTTCTTCATCCGATCCCTTGCCCTCTCCAAATGGTACTTTAGTTGTTTAATTGCCTCATCACGATCCCGTAAATCCTCTTGCACAGCTTCCACCCTTATTTCACCAGGAACACTCTGCACCAACATTGGAGGCTTACGTCCATAAACCGCTTCAAATGGTGTAGTACCAATTGACTCATGGTAAGTGGTATTGAACCAATATTCTCGCCCAAGGTAACCACATAACCCAACTCTTAGGCTGGTCAGAAATGAAGCACCCGAGGTATATTTCTAAGCAACGGTTAGTCACCTCGGTTTGACCATCCGTCTGTGGATGGTAAGCCGTACTCATCTTTAACACTGTGCCTTGCATCCTGAAAAACTCTTTCCAAAATACACTCATAAATAATGGATCTCTATCACTGACAACAGACATAGGAATTCCATGCAAACGCACCACTTCCCTCACAAAGATTTCAGCTAGGGACCTGGCCGTATATGGATGCTTCAACGGAATGAAATGACTGTACTTCGATAATCTATCAACTACTACCAAAATAGCTTCGTAGCCTTTGGATCTGGGCAAGCCGATAATGAAATCAAGGGATATATCTTCCCATATCCGCTCAGGAATAGGAAGTGGTTGCAACAATCCCCCGGGGCGAAGTAAGATATTTTTGACGTTGACACACATCACAATCCTGAACAAATTTCATTATATCTTTTCTCATTCCTACCCAAAACAAGTTTGCAGCTACACGTCTATACGTTCGAAAGAACCCAGAATGCCCACCCCGTGGGGTTGCATGGAACTCTTGGATTAATCTAGGAATCCAATCAGACTTGTTAGGGACCACTAACCTGTTCTTATAACACAGGACTCCATGCTTATAATTAAATCCACTTTTCTCACACTGCCCCTGTTGTAATTCCTCTATTTTTTTTCTTCCACAATTCATCTCCATGAACTTCAGCGACTATCTCCTACCAATCTAACCAGATAGGCATGTAAACCATTGAAGACAATTCTCCCATACTCCTTGACAGACGCATCTGCCCCTTTATTTTCCAACCCGGGTTTATATATAATTTCAAAATTGTACCCCAATAATTTGGCCAACCAGTTTTGTTGACTTCCGATAGTTACCCTCTGTTGTAACAAGCTGTTTCGAACTCTTTTGATCTGAATAAACTACAAACTTCCTTCCTAAAAGGTATGGTCGCCAATGTTGAATAGCTAAAGCTACTGCCATCAGCTCTTTTTCATAGGCAGACTTAGCTAAATTTTTACTCCCCAACGCCTTACTATAGTAAGCCATTGGTTTACGATTCTGCATCAATATAGCTCCAATTCCCATACCTGATGCGTCACACTCCAACTCAAACTCCTTGTCAAAATTAGGTAAGGTCAAAACAGGTGTTGTTGTAATTCTCTTTTTTAACTCCTCAAATGCTGCCTGAGCCTTTTCATTCCACCCAAATCCTTCTTTCTTTGTTAATTCTGTCAAAGGTTTCGCCACCTTTCCATAATCCTTAATAAATTTCCTATAGTAACCTGTTATTCCCAAGAAACCACGGACACCTTTTACATTTGATGGAATAGGTCATTCAACAATACTCTTGACCTTGTCTGGATCCACCTCCACCCCTTGCTGTGTTATAACATGTCCTAGATAACCAATACTCTCATGACCAAAACTACACTTTTCCATATTTGCATAAAGTTGTTGTTGCCTCAAAATTTCCAAAACAGCTTTTAGTTCTCTCATATGCTCCTCCCAACTTTCATTATATACAAGTATATCATCAAAAAATACTAACACTCCACGCCTTAATAAACCACGAAATACCTCATTCATAAGAGATTGGAATGTAGCAGGAGCGTTCATTAAACCGAAGGGCATGACTAAGTACTCATAATGCCCTTCGTGTGTTCTAAACGCTGTCTTTGGGATGTCTTCAATCTTCATCCTCACTTGGTGATACCCAGATCGAAGATCCAATTTGGAGAAGTATTTTGCCCCATTCAACTCATCTAAAAGTTCTTCTATCACTGGGATCGGGAATTTATCTGGCACAGTTGCTTTGTTCAATGCGCGATAGTCCACGCACATCCTCCATTTATTATTTTTCTTCTTAACCAAGATGACAGGACTTGAGTATTCACTTTGACTATGCCTTATCCACCCATTCTCCAATAGTTCTTTCACCTGCCTCTCAATTTCATTTTTCTGATGATACGGGTACCTATAAGGTCTAACATTAACTGATGCTTCCCCTGGTTTTAATATAATTGCATGTTCCTTTACCCTCACTGGCGGGAGTCCTCTTGGCTCTTGAAAAATATCATCAAAATTCTTTAGAATCTCCTGAAGTTCCAACTGTTTTGTCAGGTCCACCCCACATAATTTTTGTTCACTCTCTTCATTCAAGATTCCTTGAAGAGAGGTAAGTAAAGGTTCCTCATCAGAAATTCCCTTCAGTGTCTTTAAATTTCCCCCTTCTTCAAATTTCATCACTTTCTTGGCCCAATCAATCTTCATTTCCCCCAAAGAACGTAACCAAGACATACCCAAAACGACATCAATATCTCCTAATTCAAAAAGAACGGCATCAATAGTGAAACTCTCAGCCTCTGTTTCTACTTGAATATTTCGACACATACCACTAGCTTCAGCTTTGTGACCGTCCCCCATTAAAATTCTCATCGTTTTAGTAGACTCCCACTCCCAACCAAGAGCTTTCACCAACCTCTTTGAAAGAAAATTATGGGTCGCGCCACTATCAACCAACAATAAAATAGGGATGCCATCCACCGTTCCTCTGAGTTTCAACGTGCTAGGAAAATCTGTTCGGTTGGTGTCCAAACCTGTTAGAGCCAAAACACTGCACTCACCCTCCAAAACGACATATTCATCCTCGTTCTCGTCGTCATCACAACCTTTTTCCTCCTCACACTCCACTTGGATCTCATCATTTGCAAGAATGAGTTTGAGCTGCTTAATTGGGCATTGATGTAGTGGCCCATAGGGACCCCCACATTTGAAACATAACCCTTTCTTACGCCTTTCCAACAAGTCCTGGTATGCTAAATGTTTCGCACCTCTATCACGAGACCCATTAAAATTTCTTTCTCCACTTTTTTTTTCATTTGGGCCAGGCCCATTAGTTCCTACTTGTGGAATTACACTTTTAATGCCCCCACGACCTGTATTACTCCCATGGGTCCTCTGTCCCGATCCAAAACCAGTCCTTTGCCATCCGCTAGACCCGCGTGCAAATTCTGCTTCAATTGCCCTCGTCGTATTCATCAAACGACCACGCGTCAATGGTGTTGCCATGTGCAGGCTTCTCAAACGAGCACGAATATCCTCTCTCAGCCCATTCATGAAGTACGCAAAATATTGACCATCCAACAATCGTGGTACTTGCGCAATCAAACTCTCAAAGCGGCTAATGTACTCCTCCACCGTTCCCGTCTAATGTAAAGCAGTCAACTGCTCAAACACCGTACCTTCTTCAATTCCGCCATATCTCTCTAGTAGTTCCTTCTTCAAATCCTCCCAAGTCAACTCATCATAATCTCGCAGCAAAGAATTAAAGAAGTGAATGGTGCCATTCTCCATACAAATCTGTGCTAAACTCATCTTCACCGCCTCACTCGTATTTTGGACTTGGAAGTAGATTTCTGCTCGAGAAATCCATCCTGCTGGATCCTCTCCTGTAAATGCAGGAAGCTCGATTTTCTTCATCGATTGTCGAAATTCTTCCAGAGCTTCTCCTTCGAGTGACTTCCCTGCAATACTCGACTTCTCTGGTCCCTCCTTTGATTTCTTCCCTCGTGATTCGTTTCTCACAGAATTCTCACCATCTTCTTGATGATTCTTGCCCAAACTCTTCGTGAACAGCTCAAGCAATTTCTCTTGATTTGCAGCAATGGTGTCTTGCTTCGTGGTCTGTTTCTCCGATTGTTCCCTCAAAACCTCAACGGAGGCTTTAATCTTCGATAGCTCACTCTCCAACGATGCTACCTGATTCTCCATTCCAGAATCCTCTTCCGCTGGTTTCTGGCTTCCCTGCTTCCTTGTTTGTGGCATTTACCGGTCTAACGTATCCGGCAGGTCGGACCAATAATACAGAAACAAATTTCAAGAGTAAAATACGCGCAAGCAAATGATAAAAAAACAGGGTAACTTTGTATTTATTATAAAAAGGAAAACTACTTTTAGAGAAAAAAATCCTCTAAAGTCCCGAGTCAAACTCCGAATAGAGAAACGCTCTTCCTCTACCTTAGACATAGCCAAAATATTCTCCCCCCTCTCCCCCTCTGATTCATGATGATATAACAAAAAGGTAATAACAGAAAGAAACATTCATTCTCTCTCCTCCAACAAACTCTCAATACCCATTCTTCCTAATTTGCCCTCTTCTTCCTTCGAGTGTAGACAATCAATTTCTTTGGGCCTTTTGCTGATATATCTGCTAAAATTTCTTGCGACCCAATGTTCTCCTGCACCTTATCATGGATACAGATACTTCTCGACACATACATGACAAGTATCCAATATTTTTATTTAATTTTTAATTTTTTTGTTAGATACTTGTGGGATTTTTGGAATGCTTCCATGTACATATCCAAAAAGTATCTCAATGTTTTCATTTGATTTTTCAATTTTTTTCTTAAGATATGACTTATATACTTTCAAAAAGTTTGTCTTAAAGCTTCTTGAGTAGCCAAATTCTTCTTGTTATGAGAGGAACTGGAGTACATGTTTCTATGTTAATTATTTGAAGAAAACCAAAATGGATCCAAAAAGAAATAAATATTCGTTCAATCTTTGACTTTGTCTAGAAGAAGTTAAGGGTATTGTTTTATAAAAAAGGAGAGACAAGGTTGTGGAACATTGGTGAAAACATCCACATGATGAAGGTCTTAGGCTTCTTGAGTTGGTAGAGTTCTCTTTTCATGAACTAAATTTAGAAGTTGTGCATTTTTTGGATGATAGGAACAAAGGAGAGGAGAATGATTCAATTAGCATTAGATAGAAATTGGCAATGCTTGTGAATTATAAGCTATTGTGTAGAGTTGATACTTGTTTTGAGTTCAACATAGATATTTTCATTGATATAGTTAATCAAGACAAACTATGATATGGAGAAAAGCTAGGTTTTATAGTTATGATCACATATGTCTTTCTGTAAATTGTGATCATCATAGTTTCGAATTAATGGTAAATGATCAATCTCTTTTACTTATTGATACTCTACATTTATATAGATAATTTAATATTTCTTGTTAATGCATCGTCCTTATGTCACTAAGTATCCGAGCTTCAATGGATAGAAGGAAGCTGGATGGCGGCTATTTAACATATTATATGCAAACTAAAAAGTTCACACTACATGTAAGTATATTCAAGAAGAAAAAACAACCCAATGGCTTAATCACATAATCATCATCAATCTAGGGGCAATAAGACCATTCCAATGAAGTCAAAAAATGGAGGATGATGGTGAAATTAATGATCAAAAAAAGAACATAACAAATTGGATAAATAATGGCAGAATGTGCATTGGGAAGTCTAATGTAAGAAGAAAGAATGGAACATACAAAAACACTAGTGGAGAGTACAAAGGAATAGAGGTCGAGACAATTACATTTGGTGGAATGACCAAGGAAGAATGATTTCAAATTCTCTAATTATCTTCCTAAAGCAAAAATAAATAAATGCATTACAAAAGGGGTTAAAAACACAGATTTACACCAAAAATAAGATTGTTTCAGGGGTAAAATGGATTTTTTAAGTTTATGTAATGATAAGCTCCCTATAACAAGGGAAAACAGCTATTTTTGGCTGCAATTCCCGCTACAGTGACTGCTATTAAAACTTCTCTGCTATTTGAGTCCCCCATAGAAACCCAGGGTTGCTTCACCCCGCTACTTAGCTATGTACTCTGTTGACTTATGAAATATGAAACTAATCCTTAAAAATCATCTGAGATATTTTAAAATATTTTAACATACAATGCAATGAAAATGATCTTATGACATGGCTAATACTCCTGCTCTAGGCAAAGCTTGCAAAGCATTAAATTTGTTACTACGTGTGCTTGCTACCATTAGGTGAAGTTGGCTACATGGAGAAGAATCACGTGACACCATTTGGTTTGGCTCACATATTGGACAAAATAAACTAAAAATATAAAACCATGGTCCCCACAAATTAACTCAAATGGAGGTTGCAGGACATCAATTGTGAGCTCACAGGTTCGATCCTTCCTCACTCCCTTATCCCCTCTTTCCATCCCCCTTCTAAGCCCTACCTAGAGTCTCTCCTTGGATCCAAATAAGACATAATATAATAAACCCTTTAAAAACAACCACGAAAGTGAAATTACCACAGCAATTGATTTATGGATTGGGATTATTGCCACCGACTCATACAGTTGTTAAACTATCATTGCACCTAAGGCGAATTAAACTAGCAGTTACAAATGTTTCCTCCATGAAAAAACCCTAAAATCTGCACTCGTAGTAAAACTAAAAAAGAAAATTGAGTCGGAAATAAAATAAAAAATAAACGGTAACATGTATATCTGAAGATTACTGAACGCGTCAGCGTCAACGTCAACTAGAGCTAAGAGTGTGAAAAACTTAACAATCTGACTAAATTGGTGTGCAAAAGCTACAAAACCAAGTAGTGTAGAAAAAAAAATAAGAATAACAAAACACGGAAAAGCGACAAGTCTGTTTCCAGAAAATTAGGGATTAGATTAAATAACGGCGGCGCTTACCTCCTCCGATCACGGTAGGAAGTGGGGTCACCGGAGCGGCTGTCGTAGCGGCTCATGATGTCCTTCGATTACACACACTCTCACTTTCCTCCTCTCTTGAAGCTCCACAAAGAGCGTTTTTCAGTTTCTCTCGAACAAGCAATTGGGCTTTTCTTTGCTGGACCAACTCATATTCTTGTTGGCCAATTCTTCTTAATGTACCCTCTTTTTTATTTTTTATTTTAAAAATAGTTTTTTAAATGTTAAAATCTCTAAAATTTCTATAAAGCATTTTGAAATTTTTAATTTGCTACTATTATATTACTAACATGTTCCATACAGCACTTTTTTTTAAAAATATCGAAGATTTTAATATTCTAAAAAGTATTTTCCGAAAATATTAAAAATGTAACATGTTCTAGAAATTACTATCATAATGCTTTGAAAGTTCGACAATCTGGAAAATGGAGAAAAGTATTTTAAAAAAATAAAATATAAATATAGTAAAACTGAGGAGTGCAAATAACATTTGTATTTTCTTGGACCATTTGGGCTCAAATCAACCCATCACTGAATGGGTTGAATCAATTATTTATGGCTGTTGCTTTTTGTACCCCCTTAATTTCTCCCTGTACTCTAGAATTATATTAAATCTCAATTTATCCTTACACTTATTTTTATCTTCATCTTCGGAATGTATACTTCAGAATTATATTAAATCTCAATTTATCCTTACACTTATCTTCATCTTCATCTTCAGAATGTATTCTAGAAAGGTTTTTCCAGAAACACATTTCAGAACACCAATTTGAAATATGTTTTCAGAACCAATCTAAAATGAATTTTTGGAAACACATTTTGGAATACTCAATTTGGAATATATTTTCGAAAAGGCTTTTCTAATAACGCATTTTAGAACACTCAATCTAGAATACGTTTTTTGAAAGGCTTTTTCAGAAACGTATTCTAGAACACTCATTCCATAATGCGTTTCTGGAAAAGTCAATCCAAAAATACATTCTAGATTGAGTGTTCTGAAATGTATTTCCAGAAAGACGAATACAAAAATATATTCAAGATTTGAAGTTCTGAAATGCATTTCGAATTTGGTGTTCCGAAATGCATTTCCAAATTAGCCTTTCTAAAAATGCATTCCAAAACATTTGAAATGTGTTTCTTGAAAAACCTTTCTAGAATGCATTTTGAAACACTCAATCCATAATACATTTTCAAATTAGTTATTTTAGAATTCAACCTCGTTTTCACAATACTATTTCAGATTAAGAAATTTGGGTCTGTTTATGCAATTTGAGTTACTTACTTTAATTGTTAAAAAATACCTTCAATGGAGGTGATAACTTAAAAAAATCAAATAGTCAAATGATGAAAATGCTGAGGGACAGAGATGCAAAAATTGTACACAAATAAAAGAAAAAAAAGTTATGATAAAAAACAAAATTATCGAAAAAATATTTTAAATATTTAACTTATGATAGGTAGGTGTAAGGAGAAATTTTAAGGGTGGAGAAAACAAAAACCTTATATATTGTGGACTTGTGTAACTTCTTTGACACGTTCCTGTACCTTCATATTTACTTCATGCACCCCATATTTATTTGAAAAGTTAATAATATCTTTCGTTTTATGGAACAAGTGATCCGCAAGCATATTACGGAGTATTCTGGATTGAAAATTTTCATATGGATCCAAAAATATATAATTTTTTTATGTTCCAAATTATGAAACCCGCAATATAACTTTACCATTCTAGAAAGATTAAGCCAACAAATTTTCAGAAAGCTAAATCTAGAAATGATTTTTCACATGCATGATTTAAGTTTTGAATTTACTCTTCCGAAAGCGTTGTGAACGAGTTTTCTATAAATATTTCATAATGAGCTTTTTGAAGTGTTTTAGAAATGTTCCAGAATCAATTCTCTAGAATATTTTTAAAAAGTTGATTTCGATACTTTTCAAAAAGCTTAGTCTGAAAAAAATTTAAAAGAGTTAGTCTGTAATTTATTTACATTAAGAACAATATCATCTTTTTAAATGAATATGGGGTATAGAAAAAAAGTATGGGACTGCATAAAGAAACAAAAAAAAAAAGCCCTTTGGCACATGTGCCTAATTACATAATGTTCGACTTTGATCAAACTCATAATTAGTTTTTGTAGAAACAAGTTGAATTTTAGAAGAAGAAAAAAAGTTACGTAATTATCTTTGAATAAACTTCTTTATAAGAATTGGACCAATCTAAGAGCTTCTGGAACATTAACTCTCTTTTTTTAACAGACATTTGAGACTTTCAAAAGAAAATTGAAGTTGATTACACACAAATTCCTAATGATAATGTCTCTAACAATAAAAATCTTTGTGTGAATGTGATTGATATATGCGTGATGCAAATGATTTTTCTGAAGTTTTATGGACATAGGTGTTGAAGAGACTGTGTGACAATACACTTTGATGACAACATGATGGATAAGGCAATTGGATAATAACAAATTAATGAGTCAAAAAGAGGCCCTGAATGTTATCTGCTGAAGTTTCACTTGCATGGCTTCTGATTTGGATCAGGTATGGTGTGGTGTGGGAGGACACTCATGCAACTTGCCAAACCCTGTTGGAATATGGATATGATTCAATATAGGATTAGCCTTGCCAAATATGTGACATTCCTTTGAGCACAAAAAAGTTATCAAATAAAGAGTGTCATTCCCATCAAATTGACAGATAATGTGTCCATTCTTCCTATTCAAACACTGATGTGATGTGCAGTACAGAAAATCTTTCATACTTAGATTTCTAGAAATAGAATTTTGGGGAACAGTTCTAGACTATATTTAGTGATTACTCAGCTTCTTTTATGAATGATATGTTTATAGTCTATTTTCAGGAAAAGGTAAGTTTGATGCTTAAAATTAAATGGAACTGCATGCAAGAAAACAGGTTGAGTTAGTGAAGCATCTTGCAGAATTGTTGTTGAATTATGCTAAAAAAGGGAGTTTTATGATGGGAAGTGATTTTTTCCTCCTGATATGTATTAAAAGTTTATGGAATCAAAAAGGAAATGAATTAAAAGTGTTTAGATTGCATTGATGTAAACTTTCATATCAACAACATGAACTTAGGACAGAGAATTTAGTAGTATATTTAGCACAGTATTATAGAGTGAAATTATTTTGTGTGTACCTGACTTGTCTATCATCATTGTCCAACATCACTGATTAACATTTGGAAACCAAAGATTTAGTGACAAAAATAAATATAAAATGAATTTATATTAAGTATATAGGTTGATAGGCCTATAAACAGGTTCAGGTTCTGATACTTAATGATATATATCTTTGCTGACTGTAATGGATAAAAGCAAAAACATGTCTTTGCTTTGTGTAGTAATAGTGATAGAAGTAGGGACTTCTCCAAGTATTAATAAGATTCAGCATCTTCAATGCTAATCCTCAAATCTAATAGACCATTTTAGTGGTGTATTTGTTTAAAATCCATCATTAGCTTAGTTAACTCATTTGGTGCATTCTGTGCAAAGAGATAGTGACAAACCATAACTACATATGTATGGTATCTACTCCGAAGTGTATTAAACCTTTTCCTTTTCATAAAAAATAAGAAAGAAAGTGTTCAGTGGCGTTTGGAATTGGTAATGTGGTCCAATGACATAAGGTAACTTAACATGGTGAGGCCCTCTTTCCCACCAAAACAAGCATAAAATCTGTTGCAAATAAACAACAATGCCCTTTACTCCAACTCTGTTTAGGCCAATGTTATCTTTTATGTTCTGTTAGTTTATGTTCTCTTGTGAGCAAAGTGAAATTACATGTAAAGAAATAATGCAGAAAACTTTAAGAATTTTGAACATGGTATTGGCCCCATCTCAAACTCTATACAAGTAGGTAAAAAGAGTCCCTTGGAATAAACAAACAAGGCACTTTGAGTTATCTATAAGCAAATAATTAGCCATTGGAGGTTCAAATCTTAGAGGGAAAGCTTCTTTCAAGGCAATGGTAGTTGAACCAAAAGTTTGTGCACCACACCAACTGGTTCTAACCAGTTTCAAAATTCTTTGGTCTCGAACAACCTTAACCAAAACTGGACATGTGGAGTGGACTCTAGCCAAAGCCAAAGTTCATCAAATCTCATGTTTGCAAACTTTAAGAAGAAGAGTTGTGAAAAATAAAGCAACCTCCAATGATGTAAACCAGTTAGGGGAAAATCATTATTATCTTCTAAATATGTTCTCGGTCACAAATGACAAACAAATTAGGTGCAGTTCAATTAATTAACAACCTCAGATTAGTACAATGATTTAAAAACTAAAGCATAACAATCATAAGGTAAAGGTCACATATGCATAGAGTAATGAATGATGCATCCTTGCAATAAAATAATGGTATGAACATTAAATGTATATGAATAGAAAATGCCCTATTCTTTTTATTTTAGTATGAAGGGTTGATGGTAAATGTCCTTTTCTTCGAGTCAATACATCACATTATGAGGCATGGACCCGTATAAACCAAACCAAAATTGATGATTCTATTCATATTGTTTACAGCTAATACTAATTAAACAATTTCTCTGATACCAATTTGAATTTTTTTTTGTCATGAAACACAAGAACTTTCAAGAGTTATTCTTTGTGTAAGTCAAATAATGAAAAATAAGTATTGTCAAGTCTCAATTGTAATAGAAAAAGAAACTGATCTTATCTATTTATTCAAAAGTAGAGATCCAAAATCTAAGTAGTTTAGCGCATTAACTAAACCTATCGTCATAACTACCCACCACTCTTTAGAGAAAACGAAATGTGTTATTTTCTTTGAAATTAATATGAACCAAACGAATGAAGACAATTTCAAAGCTTCAACATATTTTAGAAAAGATTAAAAAAAAAAATGCATGCATGCACATGATAGAAACTTTTCAACGAAGGAAAACCCTTCTTGACCCCTCTTCCCACTTATAAACAACATTTCCGGTTAATAACACCATCACGAGTTTTTTATGCTTCTTTATAAAATCACCATTTTTATTATATCTAATTTTGCCGTGTACA